CTTACGGAGAAACCTCATTGCCGCTGCTTGTACCTGTGATCTCGTTGTTTTGGTGACTTACCAGAGCTTGTGCCCATAGATGAGGGCTAAAATATAGATCGAGCGGTAAATTGAGAGTTTCGCCTTCCTTCTGGATCAACTCCATCTTCACCACGATGGTCCGGTACAACGCCCGCATTAATGCTCATACTGCTCCAAGCTGCCCTGCCTTAGCACGGCCCATTTTCCTGTCACTCATGAACAAGATCCTGAATTACATAAACTCCTTTGCTTTGGGCAGCACCTCCCCCCCAACCCAGACGGAGCAATCCACCAGTTTCCAGCAGAAACCACTGTGGCCTTAGATTTGGAGGTGCTGACTTTCATACCACCAGCTTCACACATTCCTTATTGTTATTCTTTTGTCATGGAAATTTTGTTAAGATGCAACAAATGCTTTCAGTCTCCATTATATCCACTTCATTGTGTACTTCTACAGATGCGAAACAAAACCCCAGTCACCAATAAATCCTATGTTAATGTATTCAAATATATATATATATTAATTATTTATTTTTTTATTTTTTCTGTCAAGATTTTGTTTGTAAGGAAATAAAGCCTTGCAAAAGCTCTGAGAGAATAAATATATACAGTGCATCCTGTTCTTCTGAATCACGCAGGGGCCCCCTGCCAATATGGCCCTTGCTCACGGCATGACACACTGTGATTACCCAGCCCGGTGCAGAGCAGAAGTTAATATATGAATATCATGTATCTCATTAGCACTTGGCACTGTAGGAGCTACATGGTGAGTTTTTTTCCCCCCCATACATTCCATGTTCTTGTTATGTTTGTTCTTGTTATGTTCTTGTATGCTTTCTCTGCATGGTCCTGGTGTTCTGCCCCAGTCAGACGGGATGTAGGTCAGGTGAAAGTGGGGCTCTGACAGGATTTCACACATATGTCTCAATAGAAATAAGCAGGTATGGTAAATGATGGTCACCAGTACTTGAGAACAACTTTGGTCTTTCATATCCTGTTCAGTATCTTTGGTGTTCCTAGGATTACACTCTTCTGGACAGAGGCCACTTTGATGGTGTGTCAGACCAGGACCTAGGGACTTCTAGTCCTTAGTCAGCACAGAAGTTCTTGTCGACAATCCCAGTCATTTGGTTGTGCCTCTCTGTACACCAGCCCAGCTTACATCTAACATCCTGCTGCTATGTGCTGGACTGTCGTAGGGTCCTCTTTGCTCAGCCTGTACTTTGGGTTTCTGTCTGCTGGGTGCACCCCTGCCTCGATGCCTCTGGTGCTCAGGACCTGTACTTGTGCTGCCATGATCAGAGCCTCTGTGCTGTCCATAAGGTCAGCCTTTTCCAGCCAGTGGTAGGGTTTTGTAATGTAAAACAGCTCCTTGGTCTGCTGATAGTACATCCCATGGTAGGGGTTTGGTCCTCTATGATATCTCCTCTTCCTCATTATCACCCTCTGTATTTATGAATCCTGCCTTCTGGTAACTCCTAACCCCACAGTCCTGATCATTGTCCCGTCTTTGCCACCACGCCGCCACACTTTAGTATTTGGTAGCGTTGCCTTTAAACTCTATGACTT